ACTACTCCAGACGAGTAGGGATTCTATAATGATATACATGGACTAGTTCGCTGAATAAGGCAGATTATGGCGATTCGTTGTTTGGCATGTTGCGATAATATACTCCTCCGAAATAGGATCGTCCCTATTTCAGTGATGCCCTAGCTAAGTTGGCCGAGCAACTAGTGAGGACCTACGGCCTCAACCGTGCTGATATAAGCCTCTCGGGACTCCTCAGGGTGTCTCCTCAGAATGCTGCTCCCACAACAGGTAGTAGGTGCTATGGTGAGGGAGGAAGAGAGTTACTGTTATGTTGTAGTAACGAACGTATCAGTTGCGGGCTCGGGTCCGCGGACTAATAGTAGCAGCGACAGTGTCGGTCTGTGCTCCATGGGTGGCCTGTCTAGCCAATTCGGTGAGTTCACGAGCCCTGTGTGACTGCTTGTCATACCACTCCATCGCCAGATCTATCCAACAGTATGACCTCTGGAAGCAGTCATTTGAGCGCCACTGCACCTGCGTTCACTCCTAGCAATGCAGTGAGTTAATTTCCCTCTCTTACTTCCCCTATACCATCTCCTCCTCAGAGCTGGTGGAATTCCATCAACTCGGCGCCTTCATCGTCCGACATGGCTTCAGAGTACTACCAAATCAGCTACCTCCGCCCTCCTTATAGTGCCTGACAGGTCGTCTATTGCGGTTCCAGCGTCTAGTAGGATAACTGGTGCAAACCCTATTACGAGTCTGCCAGTGTGGGGGGATGCTGTTGCCAATACAGGAGGTACTAGATGAAGTCTGCCATTGGTGTGCATGGTTTCAACCCGCATCAGATAACATTGAAACAGCGACGTTAGCATCGGTGATTGCCAATCTGTCATCGTCATCATCATCTTCCTTGTCACCGTCGTCTATTTCCTCCACGCCTCACCACCGCTCAACCACGGGTGATCTCAACACGACCACGGAGGCTTCTGATATTGGCTTGGCCCAGCACCAGAACGCGGTAGGTGGTCGAAGCCCTCAAGAGACGGGTGTCGGGAAAGCCTATGGTAGTAACGCCTGTTGGGGTGAGATTGGCAATCGCTGGTACTCTTCAGATTGATATTGTCCCTGTGTGGTGGTGAATACTACCCTCATATGAGCCGTACTAGTGTTTGTACGGGTGTAAGGGAATTCTCATAGTACTGGCAGTGCTGCTATCTTTCTCCCTCGTATCGGTATTGCTTGGGGTTAGCCTTAACTCCTCGACGCCATCCCTTGTAGTTATTATTGTAGTCAACTCGGTCAAAGAATCTATAAGTAATGTTCTGTCTGTAGCATTCATCACATTAGTCGGTCGCCTTGTGTGACCATCGTGTAACTCAATACTTGATCCTCCTCCTCCTCCATTATCTCTTTCATCAGAGAGCAGTGGGAGTAGGAGGATGTGAGCTATGAATAACGATAGTAGTCCTATCATCAGTAGAGGTACCACTCACATTATGTCGTTGTCAGCGACTACGATGATGATCATAGTGCTGCTGTTAGTGGTAGTCTTCACGGCGTTATGAACAGTCGGATTTTTGTTGTGCCGTGCGAGATTCGGCTACTTTTTGGATAAAGCATTGCCCTGTCTGACTGTTCTCTCGCACCGTTCGTCGTTGTTGGTCTTGCGTTGGGGTCATCCCAGCATAGTCATCATCATCATCATCCCAACTATTATCGACTATGGCGCTGTTGCTGAGTTTGAGTTCGCCATGGAAGGCTATTGAGGTCTGTTGGGGGATGTTCACCAGGTCCGCTTCTCCCTATATCTCGATGCCTTAACTGCTCTGCCCGACTGCCTCTGTTGCCGATGCCATGAAAGAGGCGGAGGTACAACAGCGCACGCCTCTGCGAGTGATACCGAGCCACTGCCATGGAGAGTAGTATCACCAGTGAGATGGTCAATCCCCATCACCACAAGGTCATCAAGTTATTAGCTTCCGTCTACTAGGCCCTTCGCGTTTGGAGCGCCGGCATGTGCATCAGAGGGTTCCTCCACGGAGACCTTGGAAAAGGGTGGAAAAATATGTGCGGGGAAACTTTGGAAAATTTCTATTGGTATCTGCGCATCTCTACCATAATTCGTATATGAACTTTCATGAGTTCGGAATCTACTCAACTCAGCTGACGAAAGCGAACATATGTTTCAACACTGCCATGGGACATACCTTCTATGGCTGATCTAATCAGAGCAGGGATGTTGGTGACCTAGTGGGGAAGGATGAGGAGGAACACGTGGAGGTTTACGTTCGTCTCAAGTGCCGACGAGCTGACCGCCCACGCCATGGCGTCGCAAGAATGTTGAGAGATACTATTGATGCTGAGTGCCACTGTCTCTGCCATATGTTGAATGTTTCAAAGTACTCACATGGTTTGAGTGGAGTTCGATAGAGGAGGCGGTAGAATCCCGTAATAGTGGTGGTGGAGGACGATGATGATGCGAGTTACACTTACAAAATATCAGCATCTATGAGCCCCCAGTGAGGGCCGTCGATTGTTGTGATTCCATCGAGGTGATTTTACGTGTTTTTCATAATGTCTGAGAATCGGCAAGCAGTGGCACGGTTAACCCGTGAGTTGCAAGCTCTTAAAAAGTAGGTTCATGGTCACCGACTAGCAGTGATGACTCCTCCTTATTGTTGGTTAGAGCTTGCCCGGCACAGATTGACGCCATGCCTTCTACTAAGAACATGCTCGAGTGGCACTTTGTAGTTTTCGATCTTCCCGAAGACACTCCGTATTACGGCGGTGTCTATCACGGGAAGTTGGTGTTCCCACAGATGTATCCGTTGAAACCACCGGCCATCTACATGATCACTCCCAATGGTAGGGCTCCATCTCGAGCTCTGGTCGAGACTATTTCGTCTTAGGGAGATTCGAGACGCATACCAAATTATGTCTGTCGATGTCGGACTTCCATCCTGAATCCTGGAATCCCAGCTGGCGGGTGGAGACCATTCTCATCGGTGAGCTATTCTCCTGTCATATTCACTACAAGTCTTTGGTAGGTCTCGTCAGTTTCATGTTGGACAAGACTGAGCCGCGAACTACTGGAGGGATGTCGGCATCAACAGCTTACAGAGAGAAGTGTGCAATCAATAGCTTTGCGAAAAATAAATTCGTAGGACTGTGGTATTGAAGACTCCTCCAAGACTCCAACCTTCTTTGATCAGAATAAAGACTTCCGAGAGCTCTTCCCGGAGTTTTTGGACACTTCTCGGTGAGCCATATATATGTACAATGGAACATATCGTCGGGTC